GTCTTAAAAAAAACTGAGCAGTAAATGATGGCCATCGGTCAGTAACAGTAGTGGTTCCAACGAGGGAACCGACAGAGATCTCTGTAACAGTATCAGTAAACAGTATGTGCTAAGGATGCCACAATACAGTTCAGAATATAGGACATACATTCATTCAGTTAACAGTAATCAGTTCAGAAAGCAGTACAGTTCAGTTGTTAAGAAGATAATCATTTTAAACATATCTTTACACAGTTGTTACTCACAGAGTTCTGGGCTACAGTAAGCTAGAGCGCGTCCCCAGTCGCCAACCCTATACAGTTACAGATTGAACACACACTAAGCTACACAGTTGGGAAGGATAATAACTTAATCCCTAATTGCCTCGGTGTGTTCTACATCTATATCCTCATTAGGATGCCTTAAACTAGGCCTAATAATACCTAGGATGAGATGAGGATGCAAAGATGCACTTTAAAAGCATTTTCAAAAGTTTCAGAAAACAGTGGTCACGCTCAAGCATATGTTAATCCGCTCGAGCGGACATGCAGACAAAGGTTTCCACTCGAGCGTAAACTTACCCGCTCGAGCATTCTGCAAAACAGTCAAAAGTGCTGGATAGGCGAAAATCACGCTCAATTGGGCACTCGACACCCGCTCGAGCATGAGACACAATGTCCCGCTCGAGTGTCAATTATTCCGCTTGAGCGGACTTCAAAACAGAACAAAATGCTGGGAGCACGATTTCCACGCTTGAGCGCCAGTCACCCCGCTCGAGCGTAAGTCCAAATTCTGGAAATTCCAGATTTGAACCTCAAGCTCAAAACCAAGTTTTAAACCATAAATTTTGATCCTCTTGGGCCAATTTTCCAGAAAACACATCAAAACTCATACTTTAACATGATTCTAAAGCTCAATTGTAAAATCAAAGCCCAAGGGTGTTTCAACTAAATCCAATTCAAACCAATTTCATGAATATGGAGAACATGCAAATATGCATGGATTAAAACCACTTCAAAGCTTCAATTTCATGCTCTAATGAGCCAATTCTTTCAAAGACAAGGTGAAAGCATGGTCTTAACGTAGCCATGAGCATGCATGAGACAATTCTCCATGGAATCAACTCAAATTCAACAATTCAAACATGCATGGATGGAATGAGTTCCAATTCAACATTAATGAACCAATTCATGCCTTAAATCACTAAAGACTCAAGAATTATGCAAGAATAAGTCCAAATACACAATAAAAAAGGTCAATGATCTACCTTAGGTCTTGGATTATGGGTCAATGTTGCTATCAACCTTCAATTCTACCAAGATTCAAGCCAATTCACAATGAAACAAGTTGAAATCAACTCTTCTAGCTTCTCTCTCTCTCTAAAGTCGGTTGTGTGCAAGAAATAGAAGAAGAAATGTTTTGTTTGAGTGTATGAGAAGATCAAAAAGGTTCAAGTAGTGGGCCACTTAAACGGCAAAGTGGTAAATAAGGCCAACTATGCAATTTAACTCATTTTAATCTAATTTAATCATACCTAACCAATTTTCAGATAATTATACCATAAAATCACGTAAATTACGATGATCATAAAACACTAATTGGTTTCCGGTTCGGCCGCCGATAAGGCCTTCAATTTACAATTTAAACATAAACATAAAAGCACGAACAGATAATCAAATAATCAAACAGATAGAAGTACAATTAAACAGGTATACTCAGTCAATTCAGTTTCAATTTCAGTCGGTCAGTTCAGTAGTTTATTCAGTTCACTTATCAGTCATAATCAGTTCAGTTTAACGGTAATCAGTGGTTAATCAGTAAACAGTGACGAGGGTTGTTACAAACAATCTCCAGACATTTCAATTCGATGAGAAATTAAGGAGAACGAAACGTAGAAGGAAAGAAGAAAAGGGGAAAAGGAGGCCGGTCATTACATTTTTTTAATTCTTTGAAAATAAATGTATCTATAGAGTCACCTTTAAAATGAAGGTTGTGATTGTGGATCGGTGGTTTGAGTAAAGTTTATTCAAACTTTGTTGGGCATTTGATTTACAGAAATGATTGAGGTCACTAAAAAATACACCATTAATAGCTCTAATGAGCTGGAAAATGTATAAAAAAAAAAAAAAGACAACCATCACATCAAGGGGGAGCCACTTCATTAGTGCTCCCTTTTTAGTGCTCCCAAGCATTAATCTTTGATTTAAGGTCATCATGTCCCGCGATTAGTCATGTCAAGGGTATATATATATTCCTGATATGAGTGTTCGTTGGCTAGTTAAGGTCATGCTTCTCATTTAAATATTATATTATCATAAACATTATTTTTTATTGATATTTTTACAGTTACATATAAGTGTCAGTTGTAAGAATTGATTAACTAATTTAAGAATAATGGAATGAGGTTATTTATTTTTAATTTTATATTTTCAAGATGACATAATTGTCATGTTAAAATTCTTCGTCATAAAAAAAAGATAAAAATAAGATTATGTATATAAACATTAGCTAGTGAATATATGTTTTAATAGGAGAGTTGCTATTAACACCTATCTCTTTACTTTGGTCTCCCATTTCTTTGAATCCCTACCTAGCAAAATGAATCCCTTCGTTTTTCTCCTTGACCCTACACATTAATACCAACTATACCCCTAACCCCAAACCCTAGCCCCTACTTCCAACCACCACCTTCAACACCTTTGCCGCTGCCTTCGTCAACTAATCTGCAGCCTACTCACCGGTGACCTCCTTTTCTTCAAGTTCGACCGACATGAACATTCTTCTTCTTCTTTTTCTTCTTCCACCATTGACCCATTTCATTCTTTTTCTTCTTTTTTCCTCTTCATTCCTCCACCACTCTGCTACCATCACCACCCACCATTACCACCGTCACCCACACTTTCTTCTTCCTCCTAATCTTCTCTTCTTTGCAACTCTTTGCCAAACCCTAGTTGTGACGCCCCAAATTTAAGGACATCATAATAAGATTTAGAAACTTAAAATCAATATTGTCACCAAGATTACTAACATCCATTAATTAACAACCCAGAATTTAAAGTTCTTACATCACAACTTAGTCTTAGTACATAACCGAAATGACACAAATATAAAAAGAAAACTAGAGAAAAACTATAATTTTTTGGAAATGGTTCATGGAACTTGGGCACTCTTCAAGCTAACCAAGGCTGAGTGTCGCCTTGCAAGGCCTCGATGTCTCCTTCGATTTCTTCGACACCTGGCATAAAACGCCAGGGCAACGGGAATGCCAGTAAGCGACAAGCTCAATAAGATACTACAACCCGAAAGTGCCCACCCCGATAATAATACTCACAATTCATGAATAATGTGTAATAACAGAATAACCAGTAACATTTAGTAAGCATAAAATAAATGTTATCAGTTGAAATAATAACAATAAATAATAATAAATCAAATAAAAATATAACAAACGGAAACAGTATTTCATCATGAGGAATATGTCCACATTTTTTTTAAAATTTTTTTCGTAGATTTAGTTTATCAGATAAATTTAGTAACTCCCTGCGGAGCACTATTTCCATTCAACCACTAAGCAATGGTCACAGGCAATTCTGACTCCCCCTTGGTCAAATATTTAAATGTTACTTACTGTAACTACCAATGATGCCCACGTACCAGAGTTACGTACCCGAGTCGTGACATCACGATCTGCCCAAAGGGAACGGTCTATGTTGTGACACCCGCACCACCAACCTTATATCGCCTACATCGATAAGAGCCAAAATACCTTCCCGTGCCATGTTAGGGTTCACAACTCACTTGCGCAAGATTCTAAATTGGGCTCACCCCATCACTTTTACATTTTAATGTATCGTTGGTTAAATTTCTTGTTTCTTTACTTATTGAGATATTCACAAAAATTCAAAATTTAATTACCAATAATGTTATACCAACTCATTAGAATCCCAACATAAAATATTACATATGTCACACAATAATAAACAATTGTACAAAACATAAAATATTATACATGTCGCACAATAATAAACAATTGTACAACATTTAAATAAACAATTTATTTAAACCATGGTAAGAAGTAATAATTTAGATACCGAAAAAAAGAAAGGAAATAAATCGTAATTACACACATGTATGGACTTTTAATCTATAAGATTAGACTAGCACAATATTAAATAAACCATAATACACCCATACATGGATTACTAATTTACAATATTTGATGAATTAGACCAACACAATAACTGATTTTTATCCAAATAAATAATTGAAATGATGATCTTAAATCTGTCCAGAAATTTTCAGGTTGTACCTTAGGTAATAAAAATTGTAAATAAATTATTTATACAGTTCTAAAATTCGTGAAAATGTATAGAATATTCAATAAATATGTTTAGGTCATTTTTCAGAAAGAATTTCCTAAAAATAAGTTATAAATAAACAATTGAAGAGATAGTTTTTGATTCCTTCTTAATCTGTCAAAATTTTCAGAATGTATATATTGCAAATACAATTATAAATAAATTACTTATACAACTCTAAAATTCATATAAATTTACAGAATACTCAATAAACATGTTATTGTCATTTTTCAAAAAGCATTTTCCAAAAATAAATTATAAATAATTCTTAAAAGGGAAAATTAGTATAGGGTCCCTCTCCCACTTTTCATAATGGAAGAGATCCACAAAATTATTTTCTGATGTCTAAGGTCCCTAAACATATATCAGAGAAATTTGTCTCTCCTCTCTCTCTCTTCTCTGCTCCTCCACCCTCCTCTCCACCATCCTCTAAGACATCTTCCTCAACACCTTCTCCTCTGACTCCTCCCTCCGCTCTACCACCGTCAGCCGGTTGAATCCGATGAGGAAGAAGAGACTTTCTTCAATTTGGAATTTGCTGTGCCAGGTTCTGACGAGAAGGAAGACAAGGACGATGGTTCGGACACTGATGAAGATTCGTACAACGATTTGGCTATAAAAAGGATGGCGTGATCGAGTCCGATTTCGTTGAATCTCCTAACGATGTGTTTTTTAAAGGAACCGAAGTTTCGTGTGTTTATGCTATTTAAGAAGCTGAAATTGAAGAAAATCGAGTCCGCCAATGCGTCGCCGGCGACTCACCAGCAGAGCAAGCATTTCGCTAAGAAATGTAAGGTTGAGGAAGTTTCGATTTTCTCACTGCTTGCGAGAGTGAACAGTTCGAGAAGCAATTCACGGAAGTAGATCTCTGAGAACGGTTCGTCGAAACGTTTCGCCAAGGATGTGGTCCAGAAGTATCTGAAGCTTTTAAGGCTCCATCCTCACATGAAGAGCCAAAGGAATGACAGGTTTACAGTGGCAGTGAAAAGCTGATTTAGATGATCCATTATCAGAAATAAATGGTAAATCACGATCACCTGAACTGAATTTTCTCTGGGTTGAAACTAGAGAAATTTTCTAGTTTGAACTGAAATTTCTCTAGGTTGGTTCGGAGAAATTTTCTGGCTTAAAGTGAATTTTCTCTGGATTGGTCCAGAGAAATTCTATGATTTGAACTGAATTTTCTCTGGGTTGATCCAGAGAAATTCTCTGGTTTGGCGGAGAATTTAGTTTCTTCGACAGTTATGATTTCTGGGTATGCCCGAAGTGGATGAAAATCGAAAGCTGTTGAACTCTTGCGTGGTATGGCGGAGAAGAATTTGTTTTCTTGGACGGCTTTGATATCTGGGTTGGTACAGAGTGGACAATGGATTGATGGGTTTAATCTCTTCATTGAAATGAGGAGAGCAGGGGTTGATATTGTAGACCCTTTTATTCTTTCAAGCATTGTTGGAGCCTCAGCTAATTTAGCAGCATTGGAGCTTGGAAAACAGATTCATTGCTTAGTTTTATCTCTTGGTTATGAATCTAGTTTATTTGTTAGTAATGCACTTGTTGATATGTATGCTAAATGTAGTGACATACTAGCAGCAAAGACCATTTTTGATACTATGTGCCGAAGAGATATAGTTTCTTGGACTTCAATTATAGTTGGGATGGCCCAGCATGGACGAGCAAACGAATCATTGTCTCTGCATGATGAGGTGATTTCAGCTGAATTTTCTTTGGTTTTTTAACTGAATTTTCTTTAGGTTGAAATCAGAGAAATTCTTTGATTTTTAAACTGAATTTTCTCTAGGTTGGTTTAGAGAAATTCTTTGGTTTTACTGAAGTTTCTCAGGGTTGATCGAGAGAAATTCTTTGGTTTTTAAACTGAATTTTCCCAATTCAAGAATTTCAGTATTATGAAGATCCAGGTAGATTTCGGCAAATCATCACAAATCTCATGGGTAATTCAATCAAGGTAAGTATGCATCAGCTTCTCAAATTTCAGTCCAACAACCTAAAGAAAATTCAGACCAACCAAACCAGAGAAATTCTCTGGACCAACCCAGAGAAAGTCTAGAGCAAATTCAGTTCAGACCAAAAAAAATTTAGTTTAAACCAAAGAATTTCTCTGGACCATGTAAACAAACCCATGGTGGTAACGCTGCAAATTCAAACAGGTGAAGAAATTATGAAAATATTGAGGAATTTTCTCTGGACCAATTTTCTCTGAACAAATTTTCTCTGGATCAATTTTCTCTGAACAAATTTTCTCTGGATCAATTTTCTCTGGACCAAATTTCTCTGGATCAAATTTCTCTGGATCAATTTTCTTTGGACCAATTTTCTCTAGATCAACTTGAGGGACCTTAGACATTATGAAAATATTCAGTGTCCTTTATGCTGTAAAGTCTTAATACCAGGGACCTAAAAAAAAAATTCCCCTTCTTAAAAATTCCAAGAGTGTTTATGACACAAATTTATCACACTTTCTTAAATTAATTTCATACTTAAATTTATAAATCAATTCCATGATCTAAAAATTTATTATGAAACTAGACTTCTCAAATTTCATTTTTTTGCTTAGAAATTATCAGATTTGGGTTAATATAAAATTTTTAATGATTTTTCAAACGCATAATAAAATCTGCCTATAGCTCCAGATTTGGTTAAAAATATTTATAAATTTGTACAAAACTCAATAATTGTTGAAAAATTTTGTGGATGAACTAGACATCATTATCAACAACTTTGTAGAAGAAATCATCTTCAAAATTTGAGTATAAAATTGTCTAAAATTTCGTACAACTTTCTGGCAGATTTAAAAGGGCAAATAACATCTTCAATAATCTTTATAATGGCATAAACTACACATGCAAGTCCAAATTCTACAATATTATCATGATTTTTAGACTACCAATTTTTAATATACCATCATAAAATTTTTATACAATTATAAATAAAATCCTATCCACAAGTTTAGACAATTTATCACATGTATATAATATGAAAATTTCAAATATCAAACAAAATGAGAGGATTGAAAGGGTTTACTTACTTAGTAATAGGGTGACAAAATTGTTGAGAATTTTGGCTTCCTTAATCTCCTATTCTTCTTACTCTCCTATTACTAAGCTTGGTTGCTTCAGGGATTTCTCTCTTTTTTTTTTTCTTTTTTTTTCACTGAATGCTTGCATGCACACCTATATATAATGAAGGCTTGCATGCATATATACATATATATATATATATATATATACAATGTTTGTTCTCTCTCTTTCTTTCTCTTCATTCTAAGTTTTCTTTCTCTCAATTCCAAGAGCATCATTAGCTCTTCTTCCCTAAACAAGCATGCAAATCAACATGTGGAAAGCCTCCACCAAATTTCTGCAAAGGTTTGATTCCTTTTTTTTTTTTATAATATTTTAAAATATAATAAAATTAAAATAGAAATATAAAAATTAAAAATTAAACCTTAAATTATATAATATGAATTTTAAGTGCTGAATTAAATTTAAAATAAAAAAATAAAAACTGAATGAACTGGGTTTATAAGTACCTTGAGCTTCGAGGATATTTGACCCTAGTTGCTTTGCTTCATCAATATGGAAGAAGAAGAGCTAGTATGGAATAGAGAGACAGTACCTAGGGTTTTCAAGATTGTAAGCACAAAACTCCATCAGAGAGACCTCATCTCTCTCTTAATCGTCAGCCCTTGGCTTCACCGCTCTCTCATCTCCTACCCTTCCCTCTGGCTGGTACCCATTTTTTCCTTCTTCAATTGATTCATCAGAAACTTGGGTTGTTTTTGTTTATGAATTTTTGGAATTGGGTTTTCATTTCTCAGGTTCTTGATTTCCGTGAGCTGAACAATGCTGGGGATCGACTTGTTTCCGCTCTCTCACTGGTCAGTTTTTAGGGGCGAAATAAAAACGGGTTCTTCAGTATATATAATTTGTCATTTGCATTACTACGCTGTTTAGTTTCTGAAAAATTTAGGGCCAGAAAGCAAATTTCTGTTTGGTTTTTATGTGTTTCATAGTCTAGAAAGAGAGAAACAAAAGAATTTTGGACCTGGCCCTAATTCTTTTATCTGCGTAGTGAATTGTTGGAAACAACAATAGTAAATGCAAAGACAAATTGATTATGATATGATAGTTGTGATATGCTTTTGAGTTCTTCAGTGCATTTAATTTGTGATTTGCATTACTACCCTGTTTGTGTTTTATAGTCTAGAAAAAAAAGAGAAGCAAAAGAATATCAGAACTGGTCTATCTGGGTAGTGAATTATTGGACACAACAATAACAAATGTGAAGACAAATTTGTAATGGGAGGGAACAGTTAGTGTTGATGATCTGATAGTTCTGATATTCTCTTTGTGTTTGACAGTCGAGATATAACCACGTGAAGCAGATCAACCTTGAATTTGCACAAGATATTGAAGACAAACATCTTGATATCCTTGGAAGCAAAGTAACATTTCTGGCTGTATTATGTAGTTGCATTGGTGCCTTCAATTGAAGAAATTGAAATGTGCTGACACTCTGATTGATAAAAGAAGAAGAATTTAATTGTGTTAGTTTTCATAATTATCAGGTGCAACACACATTTCATTAGAGGTTCAGAATTACTATGTCCCAACTTATCTATGCTTTACTGTAATTGTTTTTGGGTTCTATTGAGGTTTCTTGTTTCTTACTCTTACATATGTTTAGAGCAAATTACCAAGTTTGGTACATGGTGATGGGTATTTTAATGGCATAACAAGTGAAGCAACAGGGGACACTGAAAGTCTGAATTCATAAGACATAGGCTTCAACTCTCAATGTGTCTACTCTTATATGTAGAGGTAATTAGTCACTGAATATTAAACCAATGGATCATAAACAAAAATGAGTTTAACTCAGATGAGAATTCTTGGACAGATGTGTGGTAAGACCAGGATAGATAAAAGTAGAAATAAATATATTTGTGAAAAGTGGCAAGATAGAATATTTGGTGTGATGTAAATAATATCTTGTAAAGGGAAAAAGAGCAAAATGACACAACTCTGATAGGGGAGGTCAGTGCAAGTTTGAAACCACAAGGGACATCCCTCTAGTTGTCAGTAACCTTAAAGGAGGTTAGTATAATTATCCCTTGAATTTTTTTTGATGCAATTTCAACTTTTGACATCTTGATTCTTAACTCTAGTGCAATGCAAGAGTTGTTTTTTTGTCATGTTTTAATGCATACATGTATATATCCTTAGTTATAACAACACAAGATTATCTATGCTGAAATTTCGAGCCCTTGTGTTTTCATGTTTTAAATATTGCATACAAAAATGAGACATATACCTCCGAACAATGCAATACTTTTGTATCTTCTTCTTCTTGTTGTTGGTGTTTGTTTTTTCTTTTTTCTTTTTTTGGATTTCTCAAGGCCTGTTAATGAAACTGCTAATATGATTTCAGTGTTCAGATTCCCTTCAAAATTTGGAGTCCTTAAACCTGAATGGCTGCCAAAAAATCTCTGATAAGGGAATTGAAGCTATTACAACAGTTTGTTTTAACCTGAAGGTCTTCTCCATTTATTGGAATGTGAGGTACTTTATGGTCACCTATCTTTATATCTACATAACTACATTATAACTATCAATTTAATCCAAAACAAATTATTCCATAGTTACTGATGAACTAACAAATGCAAATTGAGCTTCAGGGTATCAGATATTGGAATAAAGCATTTGGTGAAGAACTGCAAGCGTATAGTAAATTTGAACTTGAGTGGCTGTAAGGTATATGATCGATAACTGATATATGTTAGTGTTTGCTCTTTCTATCTCTTTTTTTACAACTTGTCTTCCTTTTCCGTTTTATCTCCATGGTTTTTAGTTTGAACTTTCCATGAATTTAATCATCTTTGATAAAACTTAGCATGCATTTGCATCTAAATGGTAGCACATACAGTTAGCCTCTGATTGAGTATTTTGTGGAGCTCAAATGGTTGGTGTAAGCAATTCAGACATACAATGTGGTAGCAATTATCAGGAGTGATCCGGAGTCTCATGAATGTGGTATTAATCATAACTCCTCGTTTGGTAACATTATTGTTTCCTATTTTCTATTTTCAATTTTAGAAATTAAAAAACAAAAACACATTTGGTTATTGTCTTTGTTTTCAAAAAATTGAAAACAATTTCCAAAATTTTCACAACTTTTGGAAACAAAAAAATGGGTGTTTTCTTTTACTTCCAAGGCCTGAATCAGAGCAAACAACTAGTTAGTCATAACTTTTCTGACAGTCTCTTAAATGTAAGCCACCTCTTTTAGGCAAAGACCTCTAAGAAAGGAAGGTAATTATATCTCTTTGGGGAGATTAAATTAATTCAAAGCTCATCCTTTTTCTATTCTTAATTCAAAAAATGACATTCTTACCATTTGTGGCCTCCTTAACCACTAAAGGGGCACCACTCTCAGCTTTTTTAGCAAAACTTACGCCAAATGGCTTGTATGGAGTAAATATTGATGAGAATGTGATTCTCATGTCCCTCACAATGCCAACAATGCCATGGGAACTAATTGTATTAGCTCAATGATTGAGAGTTGGGAGAGTTGCCAGATCTCCTAACGTGACTTTATGTTTCAAGTATTCGTGATGAAGGGGATTTAGTGTGATGATTGAGATCCCCTTCCAATCAATTTAATGTTAAGTCTTTTTATGAGGTCTTGTTTGGTTATTAAGGGGTCTCACTTTCATTGGCGTGGGATGTGGGGTTTTAAGGCCCCTCCTAAGGTGTCACTTTTTGTTTTGTGTACGACATGTGCTAAAATTCTCACTATCGATAATTTAATTAGGAGGCATGTTCACCTAAATTGTTGTTTTATGTGTAAGCATGATGAGAAAATAATGAGCCATCTTCTTGTTCATCATGAGGTGACCCTGGAATTGTGATCTTTGAGCTTTCTCTTTGGTGTTGTCTGACGTGTAGTTGGACATTCACCTAGCAAGCATATTTAGTAATTCGAGTTAACCATAAACTATGCATAAAACTCTCATATTATGCATGAAATGCTTTATGGTACCTTGTGAACAACATTTTACCCTAGAGAATAAAAGAAGTTTATTGACCAATATGATTTCTCTGTTGTTTCCCCGTGTCTATGAACATGAGAATTAGATAAGTCACTTGCACCCGGCATTTGTACTCAAGTTCATATAACATAGGATATGAAGTTAGGTCTAGAGGATTTGTTGGTTTTTTATTTTCAAGATTGTAATTAATGAATATTGTTGACTTGTATATCTTATTTAATAGTCAAATATAATTTGTATTTATTTCTCAGCAGTTGAGGTCAGTACTAGTTATCTTAAAGAACTGTCTTTGAATTGTGCGCTTTGATGTGGCAATTACAGAATATTACAGACAAGAGCTTGCAACTTCTTGCTGATAATTATCAATATCTGGAGTCTTTGAACCTCACTAGGTATGTAAATTTGGTTCGTGTAAGATTTCTGAGAGAGAAGCTCTCTCCTTCAGGAAAAAAGAAAAAGAAAAAATGTGATATCTGTATGTATGGAACATATCATGACTAAAAATTCAGAATGGTCTGAAAATTAGGTTATTCTCCACTAAAGATTTGTGAGTAAATGGTACATGCTAATGGAACAACAGAGTTTGGTCTGACGATGGGTTTTACTGTATACTAGTTCATGATTTACCCAATTTTTCATTTTGGAAACCTTTTGCAATCCAATACAGTAGCCAACCGCATCTGCCAACTTAACTTTCGCTCTATTGGGTGTTTTTTAGGTGCATCAAAATAACAGATGGGGGTTTGTGTCAGATATTGCTCAAATGCTCCTCTCTTCAGAGTCTAAATCTGTATGCTCTTTCGAGGTAATATATCAGAAGTTTTTTGTTGACTGAAGCTTACATTAGCTTATATTGTGATCCCTAATGTGTGCCCCTGGTGGTTTTCATTTCATGTAGTTTTACAGATGAGGCTTACAAGAAGATATCGATATTAGCCAATCTCAGATTCTTAGATCTATGTGGTTCCCAGGTACAATCACTTGCTCAGAATTAAATTCATTACACTTGATTTCCTTGGATAGACATTAATACTGACTAGTAACACTTGAATGTTAGAATCTAACCAATGAAGGACTTTACTGTATAGCCAAATGCAAGAATCTGGCCTCTCTCAATTTGACATGGTGAGTTAGCTGATTGTCTCCTATATAATTATCTGGAACAAAGCAAGTCGTTCTTTGAATTCACAAGCCACTTTCTGTTATCTCAATAGGTGTGTGCGTGTCACTGATGAGGGGGTCATAGCCATTGCACAAGGTTGCATCTCTCTTGAATTTCTTAGGTAATTCTTGATGATATATATATATATATATATATTTAAGTGATAATCCATGGTATCTCCCGCCTAGCTCAGCCAATTGGGCCAAGTTACCTCATATCTGGATAGTCGAGAACTAATCCCTAGAGGCCCTGAAGTTAACAACCACAAACCTCCAGTGGCCTCTTGGGAGACTCAAACTTGAGACCTTGGATCTTATTCTTATGTCTTTACCACTCGGCCCCCTGGGGTTAAATCTTGATGAGACTAATATTATTGAATGTGAAAAATTGATGCATTTTATGTCTGGTTTGTGCCTTTAGAAGCTTTTAAGAGCATACCATGCGATTATGCCATGAAGTCAAAACTCCCTTATTATGTGAATTGGATATTGTTGCTTCAAATTGGGTATAGTGTCGGTGGTTGATGCTCTATGTTACATAAAAACACCATTTTAGCATTAGAAACAAAAACAAAAGAGCATTAAGTATATCACATTTAGCTGTGTCCCTCATTTCTTAAATTTGGAAATAGATGTTAGAATTTACCATAACCTACCACCAATTTACCACCACCTACCACCTACACCTACCATCACCTACCACCAATTTATCACCACCTACTCCTCACCTACCACCTACACCTACTACCACATTTTCTTCTATATATATGATCATTGTAAACAATCAGAGATAAAACAATAACAATCAATATTCATCAATCAATAATACATACATATTAACAATAGATAAATCCGATTTTAGGCACATACACACCTCTGACATCCATACCCAAGTTATTGGAACATGGCATGCAGAAAATATGAAAGCTGAACTATAATTTGGAATGAACTTAAAATGAAATCTGTAATTTATGCAGCTGTATTTATCATAATCAATTCAAGGAAATGGATCCATGTAGCTTACACTAAAGTAATTGGGATTTGGGATAAAGCCTTGTCGAGTTGAGTTGAGCTATGACACGATGGTCATTGTCATATTGTTCAAATTTTTTATTGATTGAATTTTATTGCAACCTTGCTGAAACAATTTTAGTGCAACATGCACATCTAGTATCAAATACAGAGTACTAGCAAGATTGATGAGCATTGGCTATTCCATACTGTTATGGTGAAATCGTATGGTCGTGCAGTCATCTTCTGGCTATTAAAAAGTTTGCTCTTGATATAACATCTGTTACTGATTTCATGGATGGAAAAACTGCAGCTTGTTTGGTATTATTGGTGTTACTGATAAGTTCCATGTAGCTTACACTAAAGTAATTGGGATTTGGGATAAAGCCTTGTTGTGTTGAGTTGAGTTGAGCTATGACACGATGGTCATTGTCATATTGTTCAAATTTTTTATTAATTGAATTTTATTGCAACCTTGCTGAAACAATTTGAGTGCAACATGCACATCTAGTATCAAATACAGAGTACTAGCAATATTGATGAGCGTTGGCTATTCCATACTGTTATGGTGAAATCGTCTGGTCGTGTAGTCATCTTCTGGCTATTAAAAAGTTTCCTCTTGATATAACATCTGTTATTGATTTCATGGATGGAAAAACTGCAGCTTGTTTGGTATTATTGGTGTTACTGATAAGTGCTTGGAGGCCCTGTCAAGGTTCTGCTCAAACACACTTACAACCCTCGATGTGAATGGATGCATTGGCATCAAGGTATATCATATCACATTTTTTCTTATATACATGTACCAAGAGCATTTTTCTTTCAATCATCAGCCCTCTTCTTAGTTTGTAATATTTTGTTGAACAAATCAGCCAACCTAACTACTTTTACACCACTCAAATTCTTCTAAGTCACCATAGGAATTCCATTAGATTTGTTGTTTTTTATAGCTTTTCCTATTTTGGTTGTCAATTTGATTTGCTTGGGGTTTGCCACTTTTGACATTGGAGCAAGAGTTTAACTACGGCTTCGTGGGCTTTGTATTTTGCCCTTATTTTTTATTTATTTATTTATTTATTTTCGTGTAACACACTAGTAGATTCTCCTGCTGTTTCTTTTTTCTTTCCTTTTTTTGATGTGTATATATTTCCCTCACAGAGACGAAGTCATGAAGAACTGCTTCAATTGTTCCCACATCTGAGATGCTTCAAAGTGCACAGCTAAAGTTATATGCTTTATGAAGTCATAATCATTTCCTGCCATCGATGTGAGTTTCTCTCTGCAAATATATATATTTTCAAAATCATTAAACAAAACCACCACTAAACTACGAATAAAGAATTTATTAATGATCGTAACATCATTTATGTACACGTTATAAACCCAGATCAATGTGGCTACTTGACAGACAGAGCAGTTCATGTTTAAGAAAAACAATGTTACACTGACTAATCTTCTGAAGATTCCCAATCACAATGTTGTACTGACTAATCTTCTGAAGATTCCCAATCACTTCATTGGATTTATCTTTCTAGCTTGTTGAACAATTTCTCATTAACTTCATGGTTCATCAGCTCCTAGGAATCTTAAATGGATGGTTTGGTCATTCACAGGAATTTAGAACACATTATGATGAACTCATTCCTCTGAAGTCCTTTTATGTTAAAATATATATTTTTTATTTTATGAAAGAAATATATCCATAGATTCACTAGCATCCCAGTCGGGGGCTTGCTCTTCAAAAATTTGTTGGGCAGGCATGTCCATTTCACAATCTGGTTAAGTGTGGTAACTTAATGGTCCCATTTAGTTTGGAACATCTAATCTATCATGCATAGATGCTAACGCTGGTTCACCAGGTTTCCAAGAGTTCATGGGACACAAAAGGGCCATTGAAATTCTGTGAAGTATATGGGATTGGATACATAACAGCCATTGGATGTGTTGTCTATTTCACGATATCTTGCATTTATAGCTTTCTGATCCTGGAACCTATATTTTTGTTTTTATTTTATTTTTTATTTTGCAGGTACTTTTATTTATTATTTGTTCTGGCCATAATATTTAAAATTTTCCAATCATCTCCTTGGTTGATGAGTGGTGGATATTTTGCAGGTTCATGTTGTCGTCTTGGAGAAATGTTGCCGATATGCAGTTAATTCATTAGGACAGAAAATACTCAAGATGTTCAATAAACAAACGAGATTGATACATGACATGTGATTTGATAGATGTAACTTTACTAAATGAGCCGTCCTATTTTGGGTGGGTAGTTAATTATGAGAAGCGTATATTTTTTAATTATGTTCAAGTAAAAATTATAATTAAGGAAGCAGGGGAAATTAAAATATGCTCCTGTGACTATTGTGATGTTACCTGTTACCGCTCTACAGTTATTTTTTAAGGCTACCACAACGGTGGTTGAAGATGTTATTTTTAGTTGACAATAGCGTGATGGTTAATACTGTTGTTGCTATATTTGATTCTGAGATTTTCCTATGGAACTGTGGGTTGAGTTAGTTTTTTCTGAATTGCAAAGAGCTAAGATGGCTTTGGGTGACACTATTGCCGGGTAATGGCAACTATTACAAGGTCAATGTACAACAATGGGAACTATTGTAATAGATTTGAAATGTTCCATTTAGGTTTCCCTGAACAACATATTTTTTGTATGTTCTTCGCATCTTATCATATGAAATAAATTATTCAAATAATTGACACGAGTATAAATTAATCTCATAATACTCTAACTTAAATCTGCCAAATATGCCATACACATTGCAAACATCAAAACAGATTGAAATCAATACAATACCAAGCAGTCAAATTTTCTGTGGAAAACAGTCAAAACACATCTACTTGTATTCAGTTGTGGAAAATTGAGTATTTTAGCAGAAAAGAAAACTGTAACTAAACAAAATTTTCTGTATAAACCATCAGGGCTTTAGAGGGAACATGGCAAATGGATCATAGCTAGGATGAGAGACTGAACAAGTAGAAAGTATTTGTATTCACAAAATAAGAAAATACCCATAAAAGGTTTTGTACCAGTCAAATCCACACCGCAATGTAGACCACCCCTAGGGAACTCCTGTTGTTCAAAAAGACCATTTAAACAAACAAAAAAAAAATGTATGCCTGTATTCTTCTCTCCTTTAGAAAAGACTAATTGAAAACATTCTTTTTTATTTTCAGCCAACGTCTGAAGCAACAGCACCAAAAAGAAAGACCACAACCGATACCGAGGAAAAACATCATCACATAAAGAACTGCAGGTATATTGCACTGGAAGATATTTCTGGATATATATTTCTATTGAAAAGAAAAAGGTAAAGGAAAAGGAAAAGGCAAAAAAAAGAAGGGAAGGAAATTGAACAAGACATACATAACTTTTCTATGAGACAAAGGTAGCATAATACAAAGCCACAAAGGCAGATCATAGCAAGGATCCTGCTAGGGGAAACCTAAAACGAACATATCTCAAGCATGATCTACCATTCTTACATAAACATAACACCTATCTTTCTCCGGTGATTTTCTCTACTTTTTATCTCCCACTTCAGAGCTGACCTGACCTGCAGGTAAATAGATATTGGATTGTCACAATGAATTCAAACACAACACCTCATGCATCCATATCAACTTCTTTCCTTGAGGATGTGTTTGGATCATAAAATTTGAAGCTCGTGTTCATAAAAATGCAGAACTCCAGTCCTCTTCACACAATGTGCTTACAATTATAGAACCCTTCTTTCATTTTTTGGAAAGTGGATTGCTCAAATATTAAAAACCCATTAAAGTTTCATTCCTCACATGAACACTATGCAAAAAACAACAATTTATACATTATATATATAAAAAACCATTTTTCTTTTTTCGTGGATAGATTCCAATCATTTGAAACCAACATTAGTTTTAACAACACTGCATCCCATACATTTTTTTTGGAGGGGGATGAATGAAGATCCCATACATGGTTAAATTTTAGGTTCAACAAGTAAATTCAGCAACATTTATCAGATATATGTCCACACTCAGGTTGATTCAAGTTTTTTTTATTTAATTTTATTTATTTTTTCATTTCATTCATGATCATGCCACCCCAAAAACAAAACCATACACAGTATGAAGACAAAATAATAAATAAAATATCCTTGAGTAGGATAGAAGCAAAGAGATTGGCTTACCCAGTAGCATCAGCGTCTAGTTCTAGGCTTGCAGCGAAATTCAGCTAACAGTGCTATATGATCTGAAGACCACTCGGGAGAAGGAAGTGCTGTGTCTTTCCTCAAGCTATCTTCATCCAAGAGCTCCAACAAAGATTCCACAGTTAAAGTGTCGGCTGAAATCACAGATTAATGAATCACTTAACAGTCACATTTTCCCCATGCTATGATATTTTTGAAAGGTTTGAGAAATTCACAAGAATTACAAAGATAGCTAAATGAATAGAACAAAATGCAACAGGTAAAATTTATTGAAAACATAAAATATAGACAATTATTCTCTAGTATACCTGAGTAAAATATGTAATCAAGAGTGCCAATAAAATCTCTGGTGCAGTTTGTGAATAGCGGTTCGTTTGTGGTAGGGTCCATTCTCCTCCGGTGTTGCTCTAAGCCAAGACCGACCCCCATTCTTGCAAAGGACGAGTAGGCACTCACCTGTAAAAACAATGCAGCAACCACAATAGCCATTATAGCCAAAACATGTTTCGTATGACCAGCCCTCCCCAAAGAATAATGGGTAACAATAAACAATTACGACCATATAGCAAGCTCTTAAATTAATGTGTTGTCAAAAAATATGTTACCAATGGCAGCTGATGTGCTAGTTTGCTGGCAGGGCGTAAGATTCCAAGAGGGTCTACTGCTAGATCAGGATGCATAGGATCAACCTTCCCAATTGCAAGAAGTGCATGAGGGGCACTGCAATATAACATCAAATGATCAATGTGACACAATTGTACATTGAAAATTCAAACAATATTGTAACATCAAGCATTTAATCATTACAAGAACAACAAACAGACCTTCCAGGAACAGCATTAAAATCCCCACACACCAGCATGGGAATGTCTGCACTGGCAGCTATTTTTTCCAATCCTTTTAAGAGAGTATGAACCTTTAAGATAGACAAGAATGATGGAATATTTTAAATAAATTAAGCAAATAAAGGAATGCATATTAAGTTCAAAGAGAATGGCCTCTGATGAGAACCTGCCAGAGCTTGACATCCTTCAAATCCTGGTGGACATTCACATGTGTATTTGCCTGTACTCCAAAACCATCAGGAAAACATGGTCATAATATGTTCCGAAAAATGCCCAAGCAATTATTGGCTTTTTTTCAGAAGTACTTCTTTGCAACAAAATAACCAAGAAAAGGATGGAACACAAAAAGTTGGCCAACCATGCAAGACTTTATTTTGTTCTTTATTGTTGTCTCTTTTTATTCCTTTCCAAATTGCCGTGTCAGCAGCAACTCATCTGTATTGTGCTGTATCTGTGTCTAGTGTCTTTATCCGTACTTCTTAGAATCTACCCAAACAAACTATCCACCCAATATGCCCCTGGAAGGTGAGGTAGTGCACTAGTTTACCAACTCAATCAGTTAACTGAGTTACTAATTAATAGAGTTATTTTGCAAAGTAATTCTTCCAGTGTCCCACCAGATTATGGGAATTGCTTGAATCAATAGTACGCGAAAACATGAAAAAAGCATGAGCCAGGAGTCCTTAGTAGCAGTGAACAAGGGCCAGGGCATTCCATCCACCAGCCCAAAAAGTTAAAAGCCATAAATCACATTTTATGTCCATCAGACCAGCCCGAACTTCTAGCCTCTCCTTGCGGTCATACTGGACCCAGATTTAAAAACTCAACAAGAGCGAACAGTAATGAGAAATTAATATTTATCCCAAGGTTGATCTACATAAGTGATTATAAAAGATAAAATATAAAAATGTGCAGAGTTTCTTTAATGTCACATTTTTTTCCCACATTAGGCTGGGAAAGTTCAAATTGAACAAAGATGTATCATGTCAAAAGGGTCACTATAGCGATTCCGATTTTGACCCGTCACTTGTAGTATTCCGGACTTGGGTTTGTACGGTTTTGAATAGAGATTCATATATTGTTTCCCTTGTCTTACCTCTGTTTTGATTATTGAATTGTAATTGTGCGTTTGGATCAGATTCGTTACTTATTTTTCCAAACCTTTGTTGCTCAGATTTTTGCTCCTCCGTTGGAGCCACCATTCTTGGCTCGAGCGGGCTTCGCAATTTTTGCTACTCCACTCGAGTGGCCATTCTTGCGCTCGAGCGAACTTTGTGAACTCTCAGTACTTTGCAGGTCTGCAAAACCACCGGGAGAGTGTTTTCTGCGCTCGAGTGGTGTTTCCTACGCTCGAGGCTCGAGCGGGTGGGCGCTGAAGCGGTCTTTCCTGCGCTCGAGCGTTGCTTTATTGTCTGCAAAATTTCTTAATGTGTGTTTTTTACGCTCGAGCGGCAAATTCTTGCACTCGAGCGGTGAGTATTCGTTGTGTCTTGGCGCTCGAGCATAACAACTTTTTCTGTGTTTGACACTTGAGCATTAACTCTTCTACTCGAGCAGACTGTGTATATCAGATCGCGAAAATGACATTTTATATCATTTTTTCATTCTTTTCTCTCTAAAACTTTCTAAAAACCTAGATCTTGACTCTCTCTAAAATACTGGCTCTCTACATTTTGGCTAGATCCTTTGGGTTCTCTACCCTAATGTCTTTGAGAAAAAGAGTATTCCAAGAGCTTCATTTTGATCCGATTGGAACTTAGTCTCAGCGTTGTTGAGGACTTTACTTTGCTTGGTCTTTTCTTCTTGAGGTAGGGATTTTCTACACTTCAATATGGTTTTTAACTTAGTTATTTGTCGTGTAACAATTGTGTGATTTGAAGGTAATATGAACAAACCTAAGGTTTTGGTGTAAAATGGAAAGAGAGGTTTTTGGTGAATGAGAAGAAAATGACTATGGGGTTTGAGAATGATGTTGTATGATTTCAAAATTGTTAATTTTGGGACTTGGTTGAGACTTGGGCAGAGAGGGGGTTTGCCCTAAAATGATTGTGATATTTATTTTGCATAAATAAATGAAATGGATGTTGTAAACATGAAATTTGGCGAGTATTGAAATGTATGGAAGAAATGCGTCTCATCTTTAGAAATTTTGAATAATTTATCTGTTTTGAGATTGAATATCTGTTTAGAAATAACTGTTTTGGGCTATCGGTGAAGGATGACTTTGATTGTTGTAGAAATTACATGAGGATTAGGTGAATTAAAACTAATCCATGGTTGATTATCATTGAACATGATCATGTTGTTGTAAATACATTATATATGTATGATTGTTTGGGAGGAGAAAGGGGATGTATTCTATGTATGATTATGTATTTAAATACATTGTATATATATGATTGTTTGGAAGGAAAAAGGGAATGTACTCCATTGTTTGGGAGCAAAAAGGGGATGGACTCTATTATAATTAAGTTGACCGTAGTGTCCTGGGTGAAAGTACCGAAATTTATACTTAGGTGCCGATCCCGCGGACGAAATTTCCGTAAAATGGCAGATTGAAGTGTTTATGTGTTAATGGTGTGATTATAGAACCTTTGAGTTGTAATCTCATTTGAGTTATTGAAAAATAATGAAATTGGCTCATGTATTGAAATGAATTGAATGGAAATAGATTACGATTTGGATTTGGTACCTTATGACTATATAAAATGTGAATGTTTTGTCACAAGTATTGTTTATGCATATTGTACTTATACCTTTGTTAAAATCTCATATATTGTGTTAGATTATTCCTACTGAGCTGTGGCTCACCCTATTTGAGAACAACATTTTCAGGTAATGATGGCATGCCTCCACCAAGGCAATAACATTGAAGGGATTTTGGAAAACAAGAGCTTCTTTGTCTTGTTTCACTTTTGTATAGCCTAAAGCTTAAATTGTATGAGCTAGTCTCACTTTTGTTGTAACCAAGCCAAGGCTTGGAAAGGTATAAGCTTATAGGACATTTATTTATATTAAACTCTCGTCCTATTAACTCCATGAAATGAAAGAACATTACACTTTGATTCATGTGGTTATTTATATATTTCGGTTGAATCTATAGTTATGTTTTGGAGGCATTAAAGTCACCACATGGTTTCACCATATCAATGTGATAAGAGATGGCACCCATTATACTGAAGTTGCATCATTTGAGCTGGTTCCATATTATTTCATCACACTAGCAGTTCTAGTAGTAGCAGTGGTAAAGAATAAGAAAAAGCGAAACCAGTGACTGTTTCTTACCACACAAACAAGCTGGCGTTTCCCAGGATTATCGATCCCCTGGTTATTGAATTTTGCTTCTAGAACCACAATCAGTGCGACATTATCCTATTAAAAAAATCAAATAGTCATAAGCATTGTCAGGTCAATATACAACACAAGATATGGAGATAAGCCCAAAGGAAACTTTGATGCAACTAAACCACCTTGACTAATCGACCGAGTGCAGTTTTCTTCTGAGCATTAGGAACCAACGCGTCAGTTAAAGACTGTGCAGCTTTATTAAATTCAACCTGTGCACGGGCATTTATTCATTAAAATCTTGGACACGTGTGAGAGATGATATTTATATATAGAAAACACAACCCCACAGACATCCCAACCTCATATTTTTTGACATGTGAAAATCTGTCTCTACGGAAAAATGTTGCACAGCCATCAATTATATGAATATTTCCACTGAATACCTGCAAAGCAACAATAACATGAACTAAAGACTTCAAAACTATTCAAGAGGCTACAACCATAAGGCAAAAAGTTCATTAACCAACCTCTGCTGTTTTTCTTTTAAATAGAGCTTGATAACCATGTTTGTCGAGTTCAGGGGCGAAAAATTCCTCAAAATGGTCACTTTGAACCTGAAATGAAGAAGCAACAACCACCATTAGTCAGTGTTTAAAAGCATGTGTCCAGGTTGTTAGTTGATCCATGTCGAGCTTGATAATCATTTTTTTTTAGAATAAATTTTAGCGTGGCTATCTACTTAAACTTCTATTGAGGCATTGAATTACAAAAAAAAAAAAAAAAACATCTGCAATATCGAAAGCTTTATTCAAGAATCAATATTGAAGCCTTAAACCATGTCTAATAGCGCTCTAGCTGCGTTAAATGTTGAATAAGTGGAAAATGAAGTATTACATTTTTTATTTCCCTGAGCTTCCACCCAGGATCACTTTCCAAATTATCAGAAATTTTTACTTTAATCCGAGTCAATACTTAACACTTTGCTTGAAATAAAGCATAATCAATTTCACAATTTATCAAGCAATAGCTCTCAAGTTTATTTATGTACCTCTTGAAGACAAACAATGTCGGCATGATAGCCAACTATTTCTCGCAACAGATTTTGCCTGCGATAAGGCCACGAAAGAGCCCAAGAAGGGCAATAACTATATAATTCACTTGTGCCATATGCATCAGACAATATGTTGTACGAGAGCACTGTAAAAGTTCCAGTAGATGTAATGCGACTATCTGCATCCAAATGGCCCATCACATCAACTCCATTATTCACAGAGATCAAGCGACGGGGACTAGGAGATGGAGCAGGAATGACACGAGACGTTAAAATTGTGTTGGCAAGTCCCACAGGTAGTTTTGTTTCTGCGTCCACCACAACACACTCAAATTTAAGAACATGGCCAATATCATCAGCTGTTGGTGTATAAGTCTTGCAGCGTCCAACATCAAACCATGTTTCACCACCATTTCTTTGTGCAACAGCTGCCGGATATACAGGTGTGGCACCATTTGTCAAGCTAGGGCTTGATTGTGAAGCAGGTAAGCTTGTGTTGACCACACCAGATCCTGTGCTGTTGAAGCGCCCAAATAGTTCTTCCTCCTCAGCTCCATTTTCATTTACAGCAGTAGCAGCACGTTCATGCAGAACACGATGATGCTGCCATGCGTCTGAAAAACATTTAGGTGAGCAATGGTAGCTTTTGGCAACTGGTATTTTGGCCTTGACACATCCTAGGCACTGCAATGTGGCTTGCTCAGATGGATGTACACTGCAGATAGCAACTTTCTTATCACTTTGTATACGGTACCTACAAAACAAACCCGAGAGTATATGAATTGGGATTCAGGTCAACTGCTAGAAACCAAAGTCCACATTTCAAACAACTTAGTAGGTGTTTGGGGTAAACTAAAAAAGTGCACTTTTTTTAACCTACATACACTTATTTGGATCACATCAATCAACAACTATCAACATCTATCAACATCTCCTCTCAACTTTTCTAACCACTTTCTCCACTTTTCTACACATTTTTTTATAAAGTCAAAAAGTACACTTATTTAAAACATCACAAACCACCCCTTAGTAATAGATGCAGCAAAATTAGAAAATGAAGAATCATATCTCAGCCTCATCACACATGCATGAAATTTCAAATCAACAATAATTTAAGACCCCAATCTAGAACCAAGTTGCATGGCACAACCTCAAGTAGAGGGTTAAATCTATATTGAAAAACATGGAAATCCAGCACACAATTACATTTTGGTGATGAAAGGAAGGGTGCAAATTTTAACCAAGTATCAGAGGCTTTCGAGTAACAACACAAAATGCAATTATTTCGTGTGATCCAATCAGTGCATCAAGTTATTCAAAAGAAATGAAAAAATACAGTCTGTCCCTCTCTCACTCCCTCTCTCTAAAATGTAAGCAGCAGCCACTACTAATTTACTTTCTCTCATACTCTATGAAGTTTAATGCCTTTCAAATTCTAATTTAATGTCATTTGATTCCTGCCCAGGTTCAAAATCCAATTACTTCTCCTATCCAAGTAACAAATTACAATGACTCTTTTATTTTCCACACTAAACATAAGTTGTAAAAACAAGGAATGCTAACCACTTCAAAAAACTTCACATAGTCATCACTTGTAATTCAGTTGCCTTGATTCTCTCTGAGGTTCAAAATCTAATTTATTCTCCATCTAAAATTAAACCAGCTCATGCAATACTATGTGATACTGATGGGCCTCAAGAGGGCCCAGCCCCCAACTCAAGGCCCAAATACCAAAGCCCAGTATCCTTGAGAAACCAATATTGAACCAGGACCAATAGCATTTAAACACATGTCAAGCAAAAAATCAGCCACGAAAACAGACAAAGACCCTGCAAAGTTATTGCACCCACACGTCAGCCATTAATAAGGCCCTCACAGCATTAAATGCAGCAATCCCTCCACGCCGGAGGATACAAACTCACCATGAACGATATTAGCTAGACTACAGCCTTTCAGCCAACAGCACAACTTAGAATGAACAAGGAAATGATGAGCAACGAGCATAAGAAAGTCTTGGAGATACGTCGAGGTTAAGTTCTTAATCCCTCTCTTCTCTCTATACACAACCAATCTACTCCATCCTAACTCGATTATCGGAGTGTCCGCCGGGGGATTACCTCCCCTCTTGAACCTTTTTGCAGGCACGCTCCGTGGTCGTCAAGACCAACAAACCCGTTAGAAGTGTGGATGCCCGACCCATCCTCCGTTGGAACTGTTGCACTATCAGTTGACTGATACTAATGGGCCTCAAGGGGGCCCAGCCCCCAACTCAAGGCCCAGATACCAAAGCCCAGTATCCTTGAGAAACCAATATTAAACCAGGACCAATAGCATTTAAACACGTGTCAGGCAGAAAATCAACCATGAAAACAGACAAATATCCTGCAAAGTTATTGCACCCACACATAAGCCATTAATAAGGCCCTCATAGCATTAAATGCAACAATCCCTCCACGCCGGAGGATACAAACTCTCCATGAACGATGTTAGCTAGACTATAGACTTTCGGCCAATAGAGCAGCTTGGAATGGATAAGGAAATGATGAGCAACGGATATAAGAAAGTCTTGGAGATAAGTCAAGGTTAAGTTTTTCATCCCCCTCTTCTCTCTCTACACAACCAATCTACTCTATCCTAATTCGATCGTTAGAGTGTCTGCCGGGGGATTACCTCCCCCATTGGACCTTTTTGCAGGCACACTCCGTAAACGTCAAGGCCAGCAGACCCGTTAGAAGTGTGAATCAACCTGACCCATCCTCCGTTGGAACTATTGCACTATCACTATGCAACACAAATTTACTATCTCAAAGTTAGTATGGGTAACCACGTCCCTATTAAATATCCATCCAATTGATCCAAAAATCAGTACAGAGTAGTTATAGTCATTCCTATGATACACGAACATGGACATGCGACATGATGCAAACATACGAACACGCAAATTTTCAAAAAATAGGGGACACGACATGCTGGGAACACGCTCAATATATATAATTTTATTTATTTATTGTATGTAAAATTAGAAAAATATAAATATTATTTATTTATTTTAATATCAAATATAATTCACAAATTAAAATTTTCCTATAAATAAAAATAATTTATTTAAGCAAATAATAATACCTAAAAAATAGGAAAAAGGAAAAGAGAGGAAAAAAAGTTTTTGTTCAAATACATATATATATATATATTAGTATATTAGTATATCTATATATATTATTAGAAAAAAAAAATTAACAGAATAGAAAAGAGATAGCAAGAGTCAAACGCTAGAAGCGAGAGAGAGCTGAAACACCATAGAGAGAGAGAGAGAGAGGGGGGCAGACGAACACAGATGAACAGAAGAAACGAAGAAAGAAGAAGAAAAATGAAGAAAAATGAAGAAAATAGAAGAAGAGAAGAAGATCGAAGAAAAGATTTGAAGAAACGAAGAACATACTTGATCTAGGGCTCTCTCTCTCTCTCTCTCTCCATAACGTGTCCAAGAGAGTGTCCGGCTAAAAAAATTCAAAAAAAAAAAAAAAAAAAAAACCTTTAATATGTCGGACATGTGTCCACCGCGTGTCCATGTCCGACACGTGTCTGACACCCATATGTTGTCTCCGGAGAGGCGTCCGTGCTTCATAGGTTGTCTGTAGGCTTACCAGGAGAACTCACTAAGCCTTCAATGGAAGAAGAGGAAGGTCCCAAAAAAAAAAAAGAAACGCCTACATTTTTATGAGAAGATGCATGGAATACCACGTCATAACGATTTACCAATAATAGGAAGAATAATAGAAAAAAGCCCAACTAGTCAGGATAATGCCTTGTCAAGCGAGTTGAAAATTTCCCCTTGGATTATATTTGTTTTTCACAATGACACCCAGCATTCAAAACAAAATAATCTAAACATTTTTTAGGTTTAATATACACCTGCTTTACCTAACAACTGAATCCTTTTATAGTCCATATGACTTCAACAAATTCATGTTTCAAAACCTAATTCTACAAATCCTAAAACTAAATCCTATATCAATCTACAATTCCATTCCATTATCATTCATTGCCAATCTTCAAATGCCCTCAAATCTAGATTCTAAAACTATAAAATTGAAGAAGATCATTTAGATTGTCTAATGAGTCTTATCTTCCCAAACAACTTTCTACGTGCTACATAAATTACACACAAAATAAAACAGAACAAAATAAAAAGAAAAGAAAAGGAAAGGTTTCCTATAGAGCATTGTAAAACACTCATTAAAAAAATGACATACTTTTTGCAAGGTCCTTCTCCTTAGCTAGTGCCATCCTCTTAAGTTTAGCTGCTTGTGCAAATGTTGAAGGCCTGTTATCAGAAAGTATGTGAAACTCTTTTAGATCACATGTCCCATTAGTGCCAATAAAAACTTCCCTTGGCAACAAATTTTTTTGTGGAGTGCTGTATAATAGCTAGTGGATTTCTTAGTACAATTAAAAGGCTATTGGGATATGAGCAGGGATATTTGTGAAATAATAATTTAAATTGAATATAAAATATGGAACAAGTTTAGTGATGAATTTGTTTCGTCATTTGTACTTGTTATTATGACAAAGTGATTATTCGTCACCAATAAACTTTTTTTGTGACAAAATTTACTGCAGTTTATATATGAAAGTTTTTATTTATTTTGTTGTTTGGTGATTAAAAATTTCGTCACGTATATATATATTTGTGACGAAATATATTTCGTCACAAATATATATATACGTGACGAAATTTTGTCACCAAACAACAAAATAAATAAAAACTTTCGTATATAAACTGCAGTAAATTTTGTCACAAAAAAAGTTTATTGGTGATGAATAATCACTTTGTCATAATAACAAGTACAAATGACAAAACAAATTCGTCACTAAACTTTTCCATATTTTATATTCAATTTAAATTATTATTTCACAAATATCCCTGCTCATATCCCAATAGCCTTTTAATTGTACTACAAAATCCACTAGTTATTATACATCACTCCGCAAAAAAATTCACTAAACAATTTATTTTATAAATCAAAATATATCCATCAAACAACCTTAATAATAATCCATTAAGTATCACAAAAAAACCATCAAAGTAAATCCCAAAATAAACTAACGTGGAGTCCACCAAAAAAAATCAACACTCAATCTTAATTTGCAACTACAACTAAGCATCAGTTTAGGAAAAAAATTCAACAGTTGATCTTCATTTGCAAGTATGCTTCTGAACGTCATCAAAACCAATCTACAAAAAAAATAAACAAGGCAAACATTAGCATAGAATGTATATATATAAAGTTTATTATAATAGCAAAGTTTTATTATAAACTTAAAGCCAAATATCAGAAACTTAACAAATATACAGAACTATTCTCAAGATCACAAGCTTGAAGTTATCTGAATAGAAATTAACAGAGATTAACTAAAAAGATAAATACCATGCTCATTCCCACCCATGGGCTTTGCAATGATCACCTTAACATGGCAATTCACTGTATCCCCAAAATTATGCTGGGATAAAAAACTGGGTGTGACCCACGGATAGCAGCCAAACCAGTTATAACACTACAACATCTCATGGTAAGAAACCAGGGCATGCAGTCAATGAGAATGGGAAGGAACAAATATTGTGGCTGCTGCACAAATGGGATTTAAAAAAATTTTGAAGAGAGAGAGAGAGAGAGCAACAACCTACAATGCAAAAAATGGAAAACTGGACCATTAGCTTGGTGAGTTGTGACAGCAATGACCAAAATGGATGTAGATAATAAGCTTATTATTTTTAACATTAGCATTAAAAGGCCACGCACAAAACCTAAAAACAGCTCCCTTCTAAATTTAGAAAATAGTACACACTGCTATACGTATTATTTTGTTTTAACATTGACTGCTTCCATTATTTTATAAAAATGACATGATGTCCATATGAGCAGCTTCTTTCCATAAAAATTTTATTTTTATTTCAATTAATTATTTGTAGACTTAAAAAACATGGTTCCTATATCTTCAGATATGGTGGTCAGGTGACTTTAGATTTCGAACCATACAAATCTTCGACATTGATGAGAGACATCACTTAGGATAAACAAGCTTCAGCAATATTGCACAGCCTTCAGAGAGCATCTTTTAAATCGTAAAGTTTACGATTTAAGAAAGGAGGAGATGGTGACTTGTTCATTCATTTATACTATTGTGAAAAACTCAATCAGAGAGACACCCATTATTAATCACATCACTAATTTAGAGCAACTCCCAACACTGCCTAGCAAAAATACACAAAAAAGTAAATACATAGTTTTGTCTCTACTTTGGTTAGTTTGTATTTTAACTAGGGTCATGCTAAGTATGAATTTTTGTAATGAATCTATTTTCATTAAATACATCTTCAAACTTGTTAAATCTTAGTTAATAAGTAGTCAAACTGCTGTACTTTAACTAGTATATACTAACCAACATGAGAAAAATAAAATGATAAAACGAGCGAGACTTACCAAAAAGGCGATGTACGAGTTCATGGGATACCTCATCCTCTAAATTGTCCTTTGAAACCTTGTTTCTTAAGAAACTCCATGATGCTTGACGTGATCTTAAAATGCTTGTCAATCGACCCATTCATCTTCCCTATCTCTTTATTTTGTGCTTGAATTTCCTCTTTTTGTACTTGAATTTCATGTTTTTGTGCTGTAATTTTCTCTTTATGTGACTAAATTTCCTCTTTTGTGACTAAATTTCCTCTTTTTGCTCTTGTATTTCCATCTCTAGACGCCTCACATAGTCACTGTCAGTCGAAGCACTGGCAGTCCTGACAGAGAAGGAACGCCTCAACCCGAGTCCTTTAACATATCCTGACCTTGGCTTCAGCACCTTCATAGATAGCTCCTCCGGAGTAATTGGAGCCACACCAGGTTCGGAGCAATGTTCAGCTTGGATCTTTATTATATTATCTTGTCATTTAAATAAAAAAAGAAAAGAAAAATGAATAAAGACACAATTAAAATTGCAATCATCCTAATACAAAAGGTAAATATACATACATAATTCTTTTCGCACTCTGGAGAAATCCACTGCTTTGTGACATCATTAAAGTGTGTAGATTTGTAAACACATGGCAACTCTGGCAGTTGGCCCCGATTTGTAATTGTTTGATTTTTTTTGTTCAACTAGTAAGTTAAATAAGAACGATGGTAGTAGAATCATCTTTAAAAAAAAAAAACAGAAAAAAAATTAAAGAAGACCTACTGCCTCGTGCACCCTAACTGGGAGAGATTTTGACCCACACCTATGCTTCGTCTTCAATTGATTTCTATTGTCAATGTTAGCATTTGATTGCTTCTACAGGGAGCAAGTTCCAATAGAAAAATATATATATTAAGACAAGGTAATTGTCAACAATAAATAAACATAAGAAAAGTTTACCAGCCAATTGGTATCATTCCACTTCTTGTCAATCAAGTTTTTCCATTTCTCGATGTCACATTCAGGCGGTG